CTGCTGGCACACTTGTGTGTGGTGATTATTCTTAGCTGGTGCAACGTTTGAAAGTATCTATCTTTCAAGAGATTTTTGGGACAGGGTGATACTTTTGGACTCTGACCACACGCAGGTTAGTTTGCCAGCTAGCCAGAACTTCCACTCATAAAGCTATTTGTATTAAACAGGGTTTGATTAGTATCGTGGCTTTGTTCTGAACTTTAAGCCTGTTTAGTTTATATTAACACTAAACTAGATAAAACATCTGGATCTGAGTTACAAAAGTGTGCGGGGAAAAGCACATATTGCTGGTTTCGGCACTGGCTGGCTGTTTCTGGGCTTCTGCAGTTAACCTTGTGTGTTAGCAGTCAAAACAACTTTACGTTTGCATTTCAACTGGTATTTTATCCCAGGTGCTTTTAGCATTTTGAAATAAATCTTAACAAGTTTCAGCGCTGCAGCATCGGTCATATGGACTTTGTCTTGAAACTTCATTACAACTGTCTCTCTATGAGAGAGCTTGATACACTGAATCTTTAAGAAGTTAGAAAGAGCCAGGTTTTGGACTGACACATGCAGCGAGTATTTAATCTGGCAGTCGTATTTGTGTATTTTCCAGCAATGTAGTGGAGTGTTAACTCTCAAAGATGCTGAAAGGTCTCCATAATATAGTTAAATACTTGAGAATCATTTATTATTTTGAAGTAATTTATTGTGAAGTTTTCAATTGCTTTATTTACAGTGGTTTTTCATCTAGCCACAGGCATTTTGCTGTATCACGTGGATAACTGTGTAATTTCTGCATAGGCTTGAACAGGGAATATCCAAAGAAATATTCTTTCTATAAAATTTTCTGAGTTACTGAATAGCTTAGAAAAAAATCAAGGATTGTGTACAGTTCAATTTCAGCAATGCAGTTTTTTTTCTTAAATGTCCTGTGATTCCTATTTTGTAAGATGGTTATTTTAAGTTAAATGGTGGATACTGGAAGACAATATTTAATGTTCTATAGTGAAATTTAAGAAAATGAAAACCTAAGTAATCTTTTTCACTTGTTAAAACAGTAGTTATTTTGAATATTTACAGGGTTTTTTTGTCTTAGATGAAAACAAAGATAATAAAATTAATAGAGCTTGGCATTATTCCTTGGCAGTGATATTGTCAATAGCAGTACCTTTGAATTTTCCTTTGGTGACAGAGGGAAAACATGCTATTACATAAAAATCAGTCCATTTTTGAGTTGGGTTTTCAGTTCTTGCTACTTCCGGAGTTTGAAATATCTCACAGTTTTGCTCCTTGTTTGCTGTGTATCAGCTATCACAAAGTTTTCTTAAACTTTATTCTCATTTACATTTCATCTATTTCAGTAGCAGTTTATTCAGTATGTTTTAAAATCACATATTCCTTTCCCATAAAACTGTTTAGTTTATGTTGAGAATGTAGAATGTAAAGATACTGGTTTTATTTTAAAACCATGCTGAAGGATGGCTAAAGATCTTAGGGAATGTAAAAATCATCTTTTAAGGCAAAAACAATAAAGGATGTTTTCTAGGTGGCACTGTGTGATATAGGGCTTCTTGAATGTGCTTTGCCTATGTACTGCCGTTGATCTCAACGGCAGCATTAATTCCTGGCTGTGTGCCGGAGCAGGAGGAAGCATTTGACTGCTCTGGCAGTGTTCATGAACCATACTTTGGGAGCCAACAAGGTCATTTAGCTTAAATTAAATGAACTGACCTATCATCTTTAAGAGGTACAATTTAAAAAAAAAAAAGAAAAAGAGGGGAAAGAAAAAAACCACCAAACCTTTGCCAAAAACCCCCACATTGTCCATTTTGGGCAAGGACAAGAAATAGATGCCAGTGGTGTTAGTGAGCTGATGAGGTGTCAGGGAGATGTTACAGTGATAGTGTACTCTGGGGCCTGCTTATGAATGCGGTGGTCCCGTTTCCTTCTGTGCCAGCGATGGAGAAGGAATGCACAACTGTCTTGTCGCTTCTTAAGGAGACAATCTGTTCTCTTAAGTATGGTACAAAGCTAAGTCAGAGGACCTACTTGTGGACCGTCTAGAGGATGGTTGTTTTGGAAGGCACTGGCAGAATGTACTTAAAGCTGTTTATAGCTTGCAAAAAGCAGACGGAAAGGCAGGCAGACAAAGCCATTTCATGGCTCAAGATAGAGTATGAAGTGTGCTGCCATGATTACGGATTCAGATTTCCTGCCTGGAGTAAGAAGTGAGCAAAGAAAATCAGGTGGCATACTCTTATTTTTACTTTAAAAATTGAAATAGATTTTGATAGTTAACCTTCTCAGGTGCTTGCTATGATGGCTTTCTTGTACTATATGCTAATGCTGTAGTGTTTCTGTTTAAATATTTCCCAAGAAGACTAATGCAAAAATGGTTTACTGATTGCTTGAGGGAACTCCGTAACTTCTGATGAGCTTGTTTTATAACCGCCTTAGGAGCCAAAAGCTTTGGACAGTACTTGTCAAACATCATCTTTTCATTGCATTAACCCTGTTGTCAGTGAAGCAATGCTGTATTTGGCTAGCAAAAATACATCCGGATTGTGTTCATCTTAAAGTGAAAAAAGCCGCTCATCTGGTAACTTCATGTAAAGCAAGCATCATCATCCGAACTGAAGCTTAGTTTCTATTTCAAGTTACAGATCTAGAACTTTTTCTTAATAATCTCTTCTTCTAGACTTGTCTGTATGGCAGCAGAAAGCAAAGGGTTAATCCAGTATTAACCTGAAGTTGTGGGACCTGTAAAGAGAGGATTTGTTTGTTCTTGAATAAATCAGAAAAGGCATTTTTGAGAATGCCAGTGTTGCTTTTGCATGAGCTTCTTCCCAGGGTCTGGTCTGAAGAGGTGAATACAGGAATCTGCCTTCCTGTAGCGTTCTTTTGGACAAAGCAGGTGTCTAAAAGGTTGTGCACTATTTTTGGGAGAAATCTGATTAATGTTGATAGGCTGTTCAGAATCTGGCTATAACCTGCTGTCAGATTATAGTTCGTGCCAAGGTCTGCTCTAAACCTTTCGTCTCAGTTTCAGATGGTGTCCCATGTGAAGGGCATTTGTAGATGAGGCAAACTTAGTTTTACCTTCTCAATCAAATTTCCATGCCTTTGCTAATAGCAGCATTTTTTTCTGAGGAGGCTATTGTTCTTCAGCACAATCTGAGCTCTGAAATGGGCTCTTTGTGCTTTTATCATGAACAGAGTATTTTAGCTTTATTATGTTACAGAAACCTGTGCTTGAAATGGTTAGTTCCTTACATGCTGAGGATCAAAAAGATTTTTGGAAAAATTTCCAAGTAGAAGTGCTTTTATCTCATAAATAATACCTTCGGACAGTATTTTACTTTTATTGTTAAAGCCAGTTGGGGAAGTTCAAAACACTTAGCCAGATGGGCAGCAGAATATCGTATCTGTTGCTTATCTCCCTCTGACCACTCCCCTTTTCTATGTGCATCTTTGCTATTTGCCTCTGCAGTTGCTCAGAAGCTTCCCAAGCTTTGGCAGAATTGGTCTAATTTTCTGCTATCTAGGTGGTTTTGAATAACTGAATGAAAATTGGCTGGATCATAGTCAGTTTTCATTCTCTCGCTTGGCTGCAGCTGTAAGCAACTATCCTTGTACGGGTAGGTCCCAGCGTTGTGTTGGTTACATGGTTTTTCGAACACACTTTTAAAATGGAAGTTTAGTTTCTACAGAAATTGATATTACCAAATAGAAAGCAATATGCTTCATATGAGTAAGTAGCTTGAGAAAAAACTTTGGGCTGCTGAATAGTGGGGAAGAGCTTCTTTATCATTTCTGTCCTATTTAAAAATCTTAACAACCTTCATATGTAAAACTAATAGAAACTCTTCTTCCTTTTTAATGGGCTAATCAAAGGTTAATGTGATTGAATCCTCCTCCTTCTCCCCACATTCCCCATTAGTTGTTCTCTAGCGAAGTCAGCCTCCTCACAGAGTTCTCAGCATTAGACTTTTACCTTCTCTTCAGCAATTCAGATTATATTTAGAGATTTGTCTAGGAGCTGATATCAGAAGTTATCTTAAATGCTCAGAATTTTTTTAAATCAAAAATGTTTTTCAAGCAGGGGCTATGTCCTACTTTTTAGTTACTGAATATCGTAAGTGATGTCAAAAATTAAAAACCTTGTTTTGGAAACTTGTCTGTTCATATAACTCTTGTTTTCTGTTTTCTTTTAGGGGTAGCAGATGGTGTAGGTGGCTGGAGAGACTATGGGGTTGACCCTTCTCAGTTCTCAGGGACTCTAATGCGAACATGTGAACGTTTAGTAAAAGAAGGACGGTTTGTACCAAGTAATCCTGTTGGGATTCTCACCGCAGGTTATTGTGAGCTGCTGCAGAACAAAGTACCTTTGCTTGGTAAGAGAGCAAAAATATATAAATTGAATCTGTGTTGTATGTTATGTAGACATATACTTAGTCAAGGTTGCTTAAGTCCATTGTCAGCTTCTACAACAAATTTGCAGGCAGTTATCTTATTTTAATTTACCAAAAAACATAGAAATGTAGTTGTCTTGGTAGCATCCGTTTTTTCTCTTCTATGTTTAAAAATTATCTTGATTCATTCAGTAATGCAGGGAATGTTTGTGTGTGTGCATAAATATATGTGTGTGTGTCTACATATATAAAAAAAATAAAAAACAAACTGCCATTGTTTGTGAGGGGTGGTAATTCACCAAAGCTTGCAGAGAGTTTGCAAAACAAGTTCAGCTGAAGAATACGCTATGGCATGTGCACTCATTCTCTCTGTTGCGTATGTATAAATAACTGTTCTTCGTTGAAAATGCTTAATGGTTGGTTGTGGCTTTTTGCTTAAGCTATGCAAGCAAAAATATTTTCTGACGATAATTGGATGCAGTTCTGCTCATTCCTTGCCTTACTGCTCCCGTTGCCTTTTATGTCCAATGAACTTTAAACCTAATGGGTTGGCTTAAGTAGTTTATATCATACAATCACTGGTACCATATATTATTTTTATAATTCTTTGTGGGGGATTCATTACAGGTTTTTTTGAAAGCAAACTGAAGTAGATGCTTAGCATATTCTGTGTCAAAGTTGATTTTAGACAGGGCATCTAGCTGCCTCGGGAATCACAAGCAGATAGAGAGGTAACATTTGGCCTCAGCGGACAACCTTGAGAACAGAATACTTTTCTAAAGGGCATGTGACCTCTTATGCACCAAGAAAGTGTTACCCTGCGTGATATGCATGTTTCTCACCTGACCTTAAACTTCTATGCCAGAAGAGTGCTGTGTAAGCTATATTTAACTTGTCGTCTGAGCTTCGGAACAGATGTTCTCGCATTATATGCCTAAAGAATAGGTTTGAACCTCAGAAGTGACCTTAAGTATCGCTAAAATAGCAGTGGTCGGTAATTACATTAGGATTTTGTGTGTTTAATAGTGCTTATTTGTGCAAAGCAGATGTAGCTGTAAGTGATCTACAAAGTGGGCCACTGGTGAGAGCTCTCAGAGCAGCTTTGTAGACGGAGGCAGCACTGCTTGGCTTGACCTTTCAAATCCTGAAAGGCAGCGTATGCTGAGTCACAAGATCTGCGTTCCACACATGGCCTCCTAGTTACACTCTGCTAATAGAGTTAGAATTTGAAACTAATGATCCTTAATGTTTCTCCTTTAACAGAGAACAGTATTTTTAGAAGTAGAAATAAAACCCTGGAATTACCGCAGCAATGAGCATTTAGAGTTTATTTAAAATAAAGTGAAGGGAGAGGACTTCATTAAGGAGGATTCATTAGGCCATAACTTTTCCTTGCTGTTGTGCTTTAAGTCTTAATACTTAGTTCATCAGAATTGAATCTAGCAAATATTTTAAAGTAAAATTGAAGTGGGAGGAAACTGTGCCATTTATTTAAACACTATTGTTGTATTGCAGAACAGTTTTGGATGCTGTTGCGTATAAAATCTGAATTTTTCCTACGATACTGCTTTGACTTTACCATTCACTAAGAGTGGAGAAGGTCCTACATATATTCACTGGAGAACAAATTAAGTGCAATTGCATTGCAGGGAGCTCCCTGTATTAGAAAGGGAAACATCTGGAATAGGTGATGCCTAGAGCCAGCTGGACTTCTGCACTAGTAAGCCTGATTGTAAGTTTAGCTCATTGCAAGGTTGTGGTCTGTCCAACGTGTGGCTGTGCTTGGAAACTTCTGCTGAAAGAACGTTAGGATAGAAGATGAAGACTATTCACCAGCTGGTCATACGGGGACTTACGTTAGAGGCAGAAGTCAAGAAGAAATGCTTTAGCTGTATTTCACCCTCTTGAGGAATGAAAGTTCTTTGGTGGATGTGCTATCCTATTTGCAGAAATTAAGTGATTGCTTTTTGCTGTGAAAGACTTAGTCTGTGGATCAGTATCTTTGCAATACAGTTATTTTTGTGGCTTACAACCAAGCACAGTTGGTGGCTACTTCCCAGTGAATGAATCAAGAATTCCTCAGTGCCCTCAAGCATGGCTGGGATAGTTCTGAGCATGGTTGACAAGTAGATATGTTTCCATTCTGTCTGACTTTAATCTGGAATAGTATTTGTCTCTGAAACATGTTTTCTTTAAACTTGTGAAGTTAGTATCCTGAAGATGTGACAGGATTATAATTGTTTTTAAACATGAAGATAGCTCTACAGAGCCATATGATGAAGAAAAGCATTTTAATGTTCTGACAAGAGTAATGCAGTAATACCTAATACTTAATTGCAAGCGGTTCTTTACTTGGCGTGGTTTATTTACAGCTGATGAGTGAAACTGTGTGGAGAGCACCTAGCATTGTATGGATGCTACTAGAATTCTATTATCTCAATGATTTTGGAATTTCAGTATTTTATGTGACTTCTGTAAATGCCGTCCTATAGCAGAATGTGCTGACATATGTTGGGGTGGAAAACTGTAAATAAAGTGGAACAAAACAGGTATTTGTCAGCATAATGTGTTTACCAAAATCAAAGCAGGAAAAATAAGTTCTATACAAAAATCATAGTTTGTCGTGCAAAGATTTCTAGTATTTTGCTATTTTTAGTGTGTATTAATTTTGACATTGTTGAGTATTTCCATTTCTCCTGATTTGTAAGCTTTGATAAATATTTGAATAATTGGACTGTGAATCAAATCGGTGAAAGAACAAACAATTTCTGTAAGGCTAACTCCAGTTACCCTATTCTCTTTGCTTCCAGGAAGCAGTACAGCATGTATAGTAGTTCTGGACAGAACAAGTCATCGTTTACATACAGCCAACTTGGGAGATTCTGGATTTTTGGTAGTCAGAGGAGGAGAAGTAGTACATCGATCTGATGAGCAGCAGCATTACTTCAACACTCCGTTCCAACTGTCAATAGCTCCACCAGAAGCAGAAGGAGTTGTCTTAAGTGACAGGTAAGATGGCAGAGGCTCTTAAATTTTTAATCTGTATATGTGATCAACTCCCAAAAGGTTGCAGTTTTGCTGCTATGGTGCTCTTTGTATAGTGCAGCGTAGCACATGGGATTTAAACATGTATGCAATCAAAGGGTCTTATACCTGCCCCCCCGTCTTTAGGTAATAAGAACATTTCTCATCTTATACTTAACAAGCTTTGTACGCTGTTGCACAGTCTGAATTTATTGGGCTAATGATTATTCATTCATGATGGCATATTCCCATAGTCTATGGTGTGCACTAGGCATGTTCTGAAGGTGCTGTAAAAAGGCTGCAGCTGGTGTATGTGCCGGTCATCCTGCATGAGTGGCTTGTCTTACCAGTAGCTTTCGTTCCAAGCCCCTGTCTGTACTCTCCTGAGACTGGTTTGGAGTACGCTAATTTAGATATCTTGGCAGTGAGGTAGCAAGTACTTGGATAATAGAGCAGAGGGACATGTGACTGTAACTTGTGTTTCCAAATAGCTGTGTTTCCCGCAGCATATTGTATTTGACCAAAACGAGGAGGGGAAAAAAAAAAAAAACCCAAAAAAAAAACAAAACACAAAACCACCACTGTTTGGCAGAACACCAAGCTGGGAAATGAGAGTATTAGGAAGGGACAATCTGTTCACAGAAATGAGTTATTTCAAAGGCAGACTTGTACTTGTGTCTTCCCCTAAGAATGTCAGGCTGATCCATCTTTGTGAAGTCTCACCAGTAATATAAAATTAAAAAAAAAAAAAAAAAAAATCAGCTTTCAAATATGTATTAAAATATGGCTCTCAAATCCATGGTTATACACTCATTAAAGTGATATCCCTCTTCTGAATACAGGAAGATGATAAAGGGATCTTCAAAGAGTGACCATCGTATAGAGGGAATGCAATAGGCATCTTAAGTTTTTGATAGAAGGTTTGGACTCGATGATCTTAAGGGTCTTTTCCAACTTAAATGATTCTATGATTCTATGAAATACCAAGGCTGATGCAGTAAAAGTTGTGACTTTAATGCCAAAATAGCTCTTTTTGAAAATGTTGGTTAAGTTGTTGAAACTCCTTAACCATTCTTGCATGTGATTTTATTACTTCATCATAAGACGGCAGAGAGGAAGCCAGGGTAGAACTCTGCAATTAGAACCCTTAAATAATCTAACCTCTTCATTAGACTAAAATTAAATGATTGTTTGAAATTCCGGAGCTGGAAAAATCTTAATTTTTCTGAGCTTCTGTGTCATCCATGGGAAGACAAAATCCAAAAAGCACGAGGATAATTGATAATGTCCAGTGGAAGTCAGGAAGGCAAAGTAATCTGAGTCATCACATAATAAGGAAAGCGCAAGATAAATGCGCTCCCACACTTCAATTCTGAATCATGATTATAGCTTTCTGGCTAGTTTCTGCACTGTTCTTGACGTTAATTACTGCTCATGCGTGTTGTCTAAATGCTTCTCCGGTACTTTTTTTTTTGTTGTCCCAGTTAAATGTTAAATTTGGCTATATATGGGAATAGGCAGGCAACCTTAACTCTGTTAACCTTCCTGAAGCTACAAAACAGTTGAGCAAAGCAGCTCTTCTGCTTTTTGGCATAGCCAAATAGCATGGGATGCAGCAGTTTCTCTCTTTTAAAGAACCCTGAAGAATCTTTAAAAATGAAGGGTTTGTCATCATGCTGCTTCTGAGAATCAGGTTTTGCAGCAATATTCATGGCCAAAATAGGTATTTTCTCCTTTTGGTATTGTGTAATGTATTAGATGCAAGTAGACCAACTGGCTATGGTCTCCTGGTAGCGATTTCCAGACATGTTTCATATTCCATTGCATTAGAAAGTGATTCAGAATCCTTAAGTGTTTTGGCCGTTCCTGTTATGAATTGTCCTTTTAAGTATAGCTCTCTTAAATATGTAAGATGAGTGAGAAGGAAGCCCTGAGCTGCCATTCTACTTAATGGTTTCCATGGAGATACACTTGTGAAGCGGATTAGTTTGCAGGATTGTTCATGTGGGAATTTTCAATGCAAATCCTTTGTGTAATAGCTGGAACATTACCTATTTGCAATCACAGTTCTTCTGTTGTAGCTTTCTTGACAAGCCATCCGGGTGCAAAAGCTCCACAGTTAGTGATTACTTCTTTCTTTTGCAGAAAAACACGTAACAGTAGTGAATTACAAAAGCTGTTGATGTGCTAGTTTGACATTGCTTGGTGTCTTACTGAAAGCTGGAGTCCCTTTTATTTAACATACCTGTCATCTTCACAGCCCTGATGCTGCTGATAGTACTTCTTTTGATGTCCAACTTGGAGACATTATTTTGACTGCAACAGACGGACTGTTTGACAACATGCCTGACTACATGATTCTGCAGGAGTTAAAAAAGCTGAAGGTAAGTGTGTGTATTCTGAGTCTTTCACATCTTTTGCACGGGTTATCCCTTATAGTTACTACCATTACTTTTTATGCATGTAACTTTTTTATTTTATATAAAAGACCCGCCACAAAGTGCTATCATTTAGAAACTTTTCAGTTAATACCCCATGTGAGCAGTAGAAAGGGACACTGACCCCAAAGCGCTGTCTCTTGTATCTGCACCCAGGCTGAATCCAGAAGCAGCAGCTTGGGCGTAAATTTCCCAAGTAGCAGCTGGTACCATGTCACTAACTAGTGGTGGGAGGGAAAGGGGGAGATGTTCAATAGCAGGCACTGCCCTTGGCCAGCTGCTCACACATTGTATTTTATCTGTACTTGCAGGCTGTAGATGATATACATGAAAATACAGCATTCTCTCATGGGTTATTTGAGGGGATGAGCTGTATACTTAAAAATAATTTGAAGCTTTTCTGAAGAGTTATAAAACAGTAATTCTAAAGTAGTACAGGCTGTCTGAATTGTGGGTTGCGTGTGCTTGAAAATCTTTAATGTTCTGTAAAAAAAAAAAATTCCTGGCAACTCTGCCTGGTTAGTGACCACAGATGTTCTTTTTAAATAGTAAAAATACATTAAAATATTTTAATTTGGATGAGAAACATTTAGCTTAAGGCTGTTTACTTACAGAAAGGAAAGTATACTTAGCAGATATCAATATGTATAACCTCCCTGAGGAAACTATTTTATTATGAAATGCAAATAAGGTTAACATGTAGAATTATAGTGCGGTTTTAAAAAAATTTTGCCTGCTCTTATCCTGCAGCTACATAACTGAAAGGTGGTGTCAGACAGAGAATGGGTCCTTACAGACAAAATCTCTGAGAGGCCTCTGCACATCAGGCAGACTCCTGTGTTTCCCACTCTCTGCAGTCCCCACTATCACTCTCCCCCCCTTCTCGGTGCAGTATTCAGGTCTGAAATTGAGAAGCTGTGCTGTGAAATGGAAAACATGAGCACAAGCTGTCACAGAGGCTTTAACCTGGTTAGCAAAGGTAATGGCAGCACTGAAGATGTATCGGCATGCTGTCATGGTTTGGAAGGGCCTGGCGGGCTATAGCCAGATCATACCTCTGCTGCGCTCCCACCTTCCTTTTGCTGCGCAGAAGTAAGGTTAGCCTGGGTGGACGCCGGAGATGGAATTCCCTTGTGGAAGACAGTTGAGCTCCACCTTTTGGCGTGTTTGGGAAAGGCACTGAAGTTCCCCGTGAGGTTCAGCCAAAAGTTAACGATGTAAATGCCTGCTAATTCCCCAAACTGCGGGGAAGACTCTTGAAATGACAAGG